GGCTAGGGGCAAGCAAGTGATTGGTGATCATCCTGAACCTTTTGAAGGAAAAGAAGCCGAGCAGCTTTTGATGATTCTTAAGCGAAGTGATTACAAAGTGGTGGATCAACTCAACCAGACGCCGTCCAAGATCTCCATATTGTCTTTTCTCTTGTGTTCAGAGACCCATCGTAATGCCTTATTGAAAATTTTGTGTTTTGCACATGTTACACAAGACATTTCTGTAGCCCAATTTGAAGGGATCGTAACCAATATTGTTGTAGGAAATTTTTTGGGTTTCTGTGATAATGAGCTCCCTGTTGAAGGCAGAGCGCATAACAAAGCATTGCACATTAAGGTGTTTGGATACAGTTTTATCTCGAGTTTTTGTAGATATAGGTTCTTCTCTCCATGTGATTCCCAAGGCTACTCTATTTAAGCTAAATATGGATGGGATAATGATGAGGCCTTCCACCCTAAGTGCTCGAGAATTTGATGGCTCAAGGAGGTGTATGGAGGGAGAAGTGGACTTTCCTGTTAAGATTTGTCCCCACACCTTCTATCTTTCATTCTATGTTATGGACATTCGTCCATCCTATACTTTCCTTTTATTCACCCATGGATCCATGTAGCATGAGCTGTTGCATCTACTCTTCACCAACGCCTGAAGTTCATTGTAAACGACAAAGTTGTTGTCATTTATGGAGAAGAAGATGTAGTAATTAATAATCTGACAACCTACCATTATATGGAAGTGGAAGGTGAGGTGCATGAGTTACCCTTTCAAGCTCTGGAGATTGCTTCTGTTGACAGGTTTCCCGTTGTGGAAGGTAAGAAGTTTGAAGCACCCATGGCATCTTTGAATGATGCCAAAGCCCTCATGGAAGCTAGATCTCCCCATGATGGTTGGGGAAATTTGATTGAGATACCTGAGAAGAAAGATCGTTGTGGTCTTGGGTATCAGCCACATTCCTCCATGCAAGCTAGTTTTGTTCCTCTCAAAGGAAAACAAGTTCTCCCAATTTTTGAAGTGTTCATCAGTGTTGGTATAAGAAAAGAAGGACAAGTGATCGCAGCAGATGATGAAGGTAACGATGAAGATGTTTCCAGATTTATCTATCAGATTGCACCGGACCAAGAGCTCAGCAATTGGACTATCGTGGACATCCCTAAAGTTGTTTTCCTTGATGTGAAATTTTCTGTTTCCATTAAGTTGTATTCCCTACCCAAGGCATATAGACAGCTTGTAGAAGGGGCCCCTTATGTTTCATTCGTTGTTTAAAATTGAATAAAAGTAGCACTTTCGCATATAATTGTGTTCCCTCTCTTTTCTTTTACTTTTTACTTTTCAAAATAAAATGGCAATGCTTTTCTTTTCATATTCTAAATATTTTTCTTTCACTTTCTAAAATAAAACATAAAATCATCAATCATGCAGATTTGTCTCGAATTCCATCAAAAATGGTAGTGCTATGATTCATAATATCCTTGAGAATTCAATTGACCAAGCTAACGAGGATAGTGGGGAAGATTGTGAAGTCCTTGAAGAACTGGTGAGACTCTTGAGACAGGAAGAGAAAGTCATCCAACCATATCAAGAAGATATAAAAGTTATCAATCTCGGTACTGAAGAGGTAAAGAGAGAAGTCAAGATAGGTGCTTCCTTGCAAGGTGAAGAAAAGAAGGGGTTGATTGAGTTTCTTCGAGAGTATGATGACATCTTCGCCTGATCGTATGAAGACATGCCCGATTTAGACACTGATAGAATGATGCATAGATTGTCGCTCAAGCCATAATGTCCTCCTGTAAAGAAGAAGTCGCGAAGAACCAAACCCGACATGGCTTTGAAGATCAAAGAAGAAGTTCAAAAACAGTTGATGCAGGCTTCTTATCTGTGATAAATTATCTGCCATGGATTGCTAACATTGTGCTTATACCTAAGAAAGATGGTAAAGTACGAATGTGTATTGACTACAGAGATTTGAATAGAGAAAGCCCGAAGTATAATTTTCCGTTGCCTCATATTGATGTGTTAGTTGATAATACTGCTCAGTCTTCAGCGTTCTCTTTCACGGATGGATTCTCGGGTTACAATAAGATAAAAATGGCTCCTGAAGACATGGTCAAAACCGTTTTCACAACTCCTTGGGGTACCTTTTGCTATAAGGTCATGCCTTTTGGTCTCAAAAATGTTAGTGCAACATATCAGTGTGCTATGGTGACTCTCTTTCATGATATGACTCATAAAGATATTGAGGTGTATGTGGATGATATGATTGCAAAATCACAAACTGAGGTAGAACATTTGGTCCATTTGCAGAAGTTGTTCGATCGCCTACGAAAGTTTAGGTTAATGCTTAATCCTAACAAGTGCACCTTTGGGGTTCGATCGGGTAAGTTACTTGGTTTCATCGTAAGTCAGTGAGGAATTGAAGTATATCCCGACAAGGTAAGAGAAATACAGGATATGCCGGCACCGAGAAATGAAAAAGAAGTATGTGGGTTCCTTGGGAGGTTGAATTACATAGCCAGGTTCATTTCTCATCTTACAGCTACCTGTGAACCCATCTTTAAATTGTTGCATAAGAACCAAGATGTCCATTGGGATGATAATTGTCAAGAAGCCTTCGAGAAGATTAAATAGTACCTTTAGGAGCAACCAATACTCATACCTCCAGTTCCAAGAGACCACTCATTATGTATATGATTGTGCTTGAAGTATCTATGGGTTGTGTGCTCGGACAACATGATGATACTGGACAAAAAGAACACATCATTTATTACCTGAGCAAAAAGTTTACTGATTGTGAATCAAGGTATTCATTACTTGAAAAGACTTGTTGTGCTCTCACATGGGAAACTCGACGTATGAGGCAGTACATGTTGACACACTCTACACTTCTGATATCTAAGATGGATATGATAAAGCACATCTTCGAGAAACCAGTACTTACATGAAGATTGGCCCGGTGGCAAATGCTTTTATCTGAGTATGACATTCAGTACGTCACACAAAAGGCTATCAAAGGTAGCATTCTTGCAGATCATCTTGCTCACCAGCCATTGGAAGAGTATCAGTTAATGAAGTTTGACTTTCCAGACGAGGATGTTATGAAACTTGATGATAAAGAAGGATCCAAACCAGGGGAGCGATTGACTCTCACATTCGACGGTGCATCAAATGCCATGGGCCATGGTATTGGGGAAGTTCTGACTTCTCCATACAATACTCACATACTTTTCACGGCTAGGCTATGTTTTGATTGTATGAATAATGTCGCAGAATATGAAGCTTGTGTAATGGGCCTTGAAGCAGCCATTGATTTGAAGGTCCAGATTCTTGAAGTTTATGGGGATTTTGCCTTAGTAATATACCAGGTACAAGGTGATTGGGATACACGACACCCTTATTTAGTTCCATGTCGGGATTACGTATTAGAGTTGTTGCCCGCTTTTGTTGAGATCACCTTTGAACACATTCCTAGAGAAGTAAATTCGTTGGCAGATGCTCTAGCTACTTTAGCGACAATGTTCAAAGTCAATTATTTGAATCACATGCCTAATATAAGAATACTTCGTTACAAGGAGCCAACACATGTTTTCCCTGCTCAGTGTCTTACAACTGAAGACATGTCAGATGAAAAGCCGTGGTATTTCGACATCAAAAGATATCTTGAGAAGCAAAAGTATCCCGAGGGTGCTACGATTTGTGATAAGCGGACTCTTAGAAGATTAGCATCCAAGTTTTTATTGTTAAGAGACGTTTTCTACAAAAGAAACTATGATTCGGTTCTGCTCAGTGTCATACCCCAAATTTTTCCGTCCTTTTATTTCTATGGTCAAAAATATTTTAAATATTGTTTTTATAATATTATTTGATTTTTATAAATATTCGCTTACAAACCTACTTAAAAATATAATGATTTATTTTAGATCATTTGTATTTTTGAATAAATAAATATTTCCACACCTTTCGTATACTTTCAAATTGAGTTTACTTATAAATCAGTAACATAACATAATTGGTGAAGAATGAAGCTTGCAAGCGTAAGGTCACGAGTTCGAATTTCTTGTGCCTCACTTTCAACATTTTCTTTTTATTTTTTTGTCACTAATTTTTTTTCCTTTTTAAATAGGTGCTTCTTATTGGCCATTTGATGTCAATTTGTGTTACACTTTATTTTTGATTGGTCAATTTTGTTTTATTTCCAATTTGGATGGTTTTTTTTTATCTATAAATAGGACATGTTTTTCACACTTCTAGATCATCTACAATTTAATCACACCCACACACTACTTGTTTATGAATTTCTTTTCAAAATTTCTTTTCAATTTTTCTCTTCAAAAAAACTTTTGGTGTTATTGTTTTATTATCGGCCAATGATTAAACTATGAGGTCTCTCACTGATTTTAATTTGTTTGTTTTTAGAATCATATAGATTTTCTGAAGGTCGAAGTTTTTTTTATAAAAATGATAATTCACATATTCACAAACTCTCACTCACATGCATATTCTACAGTTTAGACATGCTTTCATGTTACCACACATTGAAACTAATTTCCAACAACTTATTTCTTGTATCCACGTATACACATGTTCTCACAAATAAAATCCATATTATTTATCTATTTTCACCTTTAACGCAAAAAAAAGAAGTATGATACTGTTTACAAAAATATTTTGTCAATTTGCCAATTTCAATGCCCAAAACTACAACTTTTCCGATTTTAATGCCCAAAGCTACAACTTTGCCAATTTCAAGAAAACCACTCTTTCCTTCATCTGCTTTTTTTCAAGAGAATTCACCATAATTTTTCATAAACTCACCATAACTTGTGATAAATAGCCATCATCATATTTTTTCTTAAAAATTAATCTTCTCATTAACAATTGTTCTCAAAACTTGTTCATCTTTGCAAAACATTATACACACAATTAACAATCAATTTCAAAAAATAGAGTAATAATAATTTGCAATTAAAGTCTGAAAATATTGTTCTAGTGTTGTCTCTTTTTGTTATTATACAGAAAAAAGAAACGAAGAAACTCCACTTCGATCCGCTGCCAAGCCCGAGCCGCCTTTCACATCGCTCACATCAACCATCACGCCGCTGTCAGAACTGCCCCAGCAATACAGCGAGCTTGCACCGTCGATTACCATTTACAGAGAGTACCTCCAACATTGATCCAACGCAAAACGCACAATGTACCGGCCAACCTCTAACGCAAAACACACAATATACCGACCTATCTCTGTTTCAGATCTCCTCCGCTCGGATCTACAACACCACCACCACCGTGAGATTTCTTGCATCTCCTTTTTGCTGATTGATTTCATGAGTTTTATGTGTATATGCATATATTATATGGTTTCATTTTTTTTTGCTTTGAATCATGTGGGTATTGGTTTGAAAGAAAAATAGAAAAAGGTTGGAGAAGGAAAACGAAAAATAGTGAGAGAAAGATGATGAGTATTTGATAACTCTCTCTCATTGATTTCTATTTAATAGTTACTTTGTTTTATTTTCTATTTAATCCAAGCCATGTGTCAACTTCATATTGGTCTAATAGTTTAAGTAAAAAATGATAAAATGAATAGAGAAGTCATACAACGGTCTTACCCTCCAGGTAGGTTTTTTCTAGTGATACTTGTTCTTTTCATTTATTTCTTTCCTTTTTACTTTAATTGAGTTTTTATTGAAATAGGGTTGTCTTTTTTGGTGGGCCTTGGACCTCTAAGTTTTCCATAATCTTTCTAAGTAATACACCCCTCTTTCCATATTCTACAATATTATTTTATTTATTTTAATTATGAATTTAGTTAATTTATTCATAACTAAGTGATTAGCAAAGAATTAAAAAAACAAGTACATGCTAAACTTTGTGAAATTATTTGAAAGTGGGATACTGAGTTTCTTCACGTAGAATAATAGGTATACTAGTTAAATGTTAAAATTTAAACTATTACATTTATTTTATTAAACAAAAAATATCAAATACAAAAATACAAAATGTTTTTTTATTAGTTAGCTAGATTAATAAATTTAATTTGTTGCATATTTTTTCTCTCAATTAATTCAAACCTTCTATAATAATAAGATGTCCATCTTCGAGTAATTAAATCGGTCGATACATCGTCTACCAACTTATTATTCCAAATCAAACGATTAAAATTTACTTACCAAATTCACCATATGCGAGCAACACATGGCCAATATCTGGCCACGTGATGAGGAGACTATATCAGACTCCCTCGCTCTACGTATAAAAAATATTCAACCAAACACCAAATCTTTTTTTTTTCAAATTAAATTGATTCGAATAATTAATTTTCGGAAAAGAATATGAATATATTTAAATTAACTGCCCACTTGGTCTAACAAACTCCACCGTTCACACTCTTAGACTACGTATGCTGGAAATTCAAATATATTTCGTAATCCATAAAAATACAAAATAAACCACAAACTACGAAATGAGACTCTAATTCCTCCTAAGAGGATACGTAGGCATACGATTAAAATCGTGGCGATTCCCACTAACTAAAATTAAAACCATGTTCCCCTAATAAAACATTAAAACCCTATTTCCTAAAAATTGTGCTTCTAACCCTAGTATCCTTGCGAACAAGGTAGATGAGGGGTGCCTAACACCTTCCCTTCTTCTAGAACCGAGTCCAAAAACCTAGAATCTATAACTTTTAGGGTTATTCTTTTATACTCCCTTCCTTTAAGATAAAAATTAAGGGCGACGACTCTGATTTAAAAACCAGTTGCAACAGTTGGCGACTCTGCTGGGGACTCAACGTTAGGTTTAGAAGCCCCATCTTTTGGTTTTAGGGTTTTTTATTTTTGAGTTTTATATTTATTTAACTATTTACTTATTCATTTATTTATTGTTACATTTATTATATTATATTTATCTGTGGTGGGGATTTAAATTTTTGCAAAATTATTCTCAATACCCTTAGAAAGAAGGCCCGTCTATTAGCCAAGGGGTTACATCAACCCTATGAGTTTATGTGATGAATTCGCTTAGAGTCGATATAATTCCGCATAAGGAATACCTTTCGAGAGATATCCTCTTGGAAAGTAGGACTTGGGAATGACACCTATGACTCTTTGTACGGCCTTTAAACCAAAAAACTCATGAGCAGAACTTCAAGACCAAGAGATAAAAGTTTTGAACTGTAAAGAGACTCCGCTTAAGGGAGGCCCTTGTGCCTTTCCCTCTAGTTTCATCTGTGATACCCTTAAGGAAACCACCTTATGGGGAGGGTAGAATATCCGTAGGACAATACTAAGAACCTACTTTCTAAGGACACCTTTCACAAATTCCACTACAATCTGCAAACCCGCAAGGGTCATCCTTCATCCACTACTATCTCTATCCTGTAGGGCTTCCGTCTATATCACCACCCATATCATGTAGGGGTTCCTTGTAGTTTTTTCATTGGCTATAATCCTCAAGGAGTTTTTGCCTGTCTCAATATGTGAGTCAGTGTAGGGTATCTTCGCGTCTATCATTATACTCAAATAGAATACCCCTACGTCTACATCATTGCATATCCATGAATTATTTATACTTTTGCATACCCAAGAATTTTCATACGTTTTAATTCTTCAACCATCTGCGTAAAACTCATATCTCTTCCACTCACAGAGAAATTTCAGCCATAACACAATAAGGTGATTCCCAGATACTCAGAACGAACTCGAGATAGCTCACAAAGTGAGTGTAAAGTTAGCTACAACATTGGAAGAAGGTCAACAAGCCACAAGTGAGGACGTCATTACACCTCAAGAAGACACTCAAACTCGACCTCATCCTATACAAGCTTTAGTTAAGAACCTTGATGTACAAGAACATGCCATTTTCCAAGATGGATATTATAGCGGTAAAATCAATGAAGTCGCCACCGAGTATTTATTTACCCCACAAAAGGGAACGAAAAATCATTGAAGAAAAACCTAAATGGGAAATCAAGGTCATGCGACCGAGAGATTGGGTAAGAGAGTCGATTACACAAGAGGAAGGTATTAGCACCCCACACGTTCGTAGTACTCTACGGGATCCACTCTTGTTGTTCTAATCAAAGGGTGTATTCAATCTAATGCTTAAGAGTTATAAACTAAGAGGGAATGCATGCAAAGAAAACACAGGGAAAAGAAGGAAATATTTACAAATTTTCGCTCGGCTGAGCCCTGTGACCAGATGCCTACGTATCCCTTTTAAGGAATCAGAGCGCCATAGTCTGGCTCACGTATTTTGTTTGTTTGTATTTTTTAATGAATAATATTAATCTCGCCTTTCGTTGCAACTCGACCTTTGGAGACTTACGCGTCAACACATAAGTGACTTAACATGTTCTTTTGAAAAGATTTTTGAAAGAAAAGTCCGTAGGTAAAAGATTTTGTATTGGTTGGTATTTTTTTTTGCTATAGATAACATCTAGTTAATCTCAAGAGAGAGATATTATCCATTTCTCTGCTTATTCATGAAACAAGCCTTTGAGACTTGAACCACACCAAGGCTTAGAATGGAAGAACTATAAGATTGAGAAGAAACCCGCTTATCATTTCACACGCTCAACAAAGGTATGACTCTCATCAGTAATCTTTAGGTGTCTTAAAGTTTGAAAGAAAAAGAAGTTTTTGATTTAATGTAAATGCAAAAAGGGGAAAGAAAAGTATAAATGGAGACTAACCTAAATCTAACCTAATGTTATCATACAATGAGTGATCCTATCTAAGTTAGCATGCAAAAGAAAGTCTAACAAAACTATCTTATGGGGAACATACAATGAAAGGAAGTCGTGATCTCAATTTCTAAATTGAGTGACTCATCGATCAACAAGAATTAAAGGAAAGCAATAAAATCCTATAGGGAGCATGCAATGAGAGCAAAGTCATGATCTCAATTTCTAAATTGAGTGACTTATCGATCAACAACCAAGAAAACAAACACGAGCACGACATATATAACAAATGAAGTGCAGAATGCCTGCTACAGGTCTTTAAACAGCGACTTCAAGCGCAAGCTCTTTATTTCCTACTTCTCATGATATATGGAAAATAATAAAACACAGAAAAATAAAATTGGAAGCAGTATAATACAAAACGAACAATAATGTCCGCAAAAAGCGCAACCAAAGAAAAGAAACACAGAATACTTTGCGCGAGATGGCACCAATAATGAGATAGTCAGGAGAATATCAATATGAATCTCATTCCATAGTGAAAATAAATCACAATAAAGGGTAATGAGCCGCGATGAATCGCTTTCCAAAAAAACTTGCACAATCTCACAAAAAGTGTTAGCAACTAACAAGGCAACATGATTTAAACTCAAACACTCAATTTACAACTCAAAATGATACTAAAATGCAAGCACATGAACGTCATCAATTATTTACAAAATTAAACTTAAAATATTAAGAAAACTAATAGTAAGAAACCTAATTAATTTCTAAAAAAAAATTCAAAACAACTCTAAGGGATTAACATTCTACCAATTGTTTTATCATTTTATTATCTTTTGTCCCTAATTAATTCCTAACTTTATTCACACAAAAAAAAAAAGAATAAAAAACTAAAAGAAAATTCAAACAGAAAGGGGGTGATATTCTGGATTTAGATGATACATGAAGCAGGGCACTATGCCCAATTAACTTGTAGTCCAGCAAGGTTTATGTGCCAAGGAAATCCTGCATACCAAAAAAATGGTGTATTGGGCTTAAGGAAGTGTGGTTCAATTCTAGTGAATTATATGATCCGGTCCAGGTCCGACGGTTTTTTTTATCCAGCATAAAAAATGAAAGAAAATGGGCCTAAGGATAGCCCAAGGACACCACATCCAGGCCACGTTTGAAAAGAAAAAAAATTAACGAATTCATTGTGACAAGGGGAAGAAATTAGGGTTGGAAAGATCTTTTATTTCATCTTCCTCTCTTAAACAGAGCCATTAGGGGTGTGCAAAAAAACTGGTTTACACGAACCAATTTTAAAAATTCAGTGCACCAATTTTTATAATCCAATTTGTGTTGGATGTGAACCGCTCCAGATCCATTTTGATATCAAAACAAAAATCTGGTTTCCATTTTTGATAACCAGTTGTCATACATAAAACCAAATGTATATGATATTATTAAGGCACAGGAAATTCAAATTCGTGTAAACCAATTTATATAATATTCAAATTGAAAATGAAAAACTAGTTTATATATTTTATTTTATTTATTATTAATTAGTTAATTAGAGTGGTGATTAGTTAAGGGAAGAAGATCTTATTAAGTTAATTGTGATGAACGATCGT